GCTGCCTCTGTTCTTTGAGGCTGTGGGTGTGTTGTGTAGAAGCAAGAATAGCTTCTCTTTGACTCAGCTTAGCAAAGGCGATTGTTGCTGCCCGTGGCCTCTTTGCTGAACAAGGGATGGAGCTGCTTGACCCTGGCCTGGTTTGGCCTGTAGGATTAGGGAATAAGAAGGCCGGGGAGGCCGGTGGCCCTTTGTGTGGTGAGGGAGGGGCAGGGGATTCCGAGCCTCTTCCTGTCTCTTAGCAGAGGGACACCTGGCTGTCTCTAAAGAAGCCAGAGAATGTGGGTGGTATCCAGAGAAGAAGGGAGGGGGGCCCTAGGCAGGATTCCTAGCCATGCTGGTACATGTCCCAGGATGGGTTGGCTCTAACAAAAAAAGGACACGGGCTGTCCCCATGCGTGCTTTCCTAGGCAGCTGCTGCCTTTCAAAGGTACAGCAAGAGTTGCAGGATTTGTTTTTATAAAATGTGCACCTTGGCCCTGTTCAGGATGACCCCCTTTAATCTTGCTAATGACTGTGCTAACATCGCAATATGCTTGTCATGTTGAGACTTTGCCTCTGGGTGTGATTTGCAAAAAAATCCAGAGCCTCCAGCTTCCGGAGATTGGGTGCAGTGCACTTTGGCTTCAGGGCCTGAGGATAAGTAACTTCATTTTGCAGAGTAATTGGCATAGCTGCTTCCAGCAAGAGAAGGAGGCAGGAAAGGGGGCTTGTTTCTTTTTTAGAATAGAGAGTGAACATTCCTTACCCCTCCCATGCCTTGGATGTTCTCTTTTAATAGCTGCTACCTGGTTGGCCACTGGGTGTATTTGAGTCCTTTTTTAGGAGAGAGGCAGGGCAAAATATTTTGAACAAGTGAATAAAATAAATATATAGTCTTGTCTTTGAGTACAGCCTTAAAGTAAAGTATTGGAGGGGGGCGCCTCTTTTCTCTGTTTGAGGGGAGGGATGGGTTTGAGTTCCATGTTGTATTTTAAGTTGATTCTTTTAAAAATGCATCATGGAAAGTCAGAAAACATAGCTGTATCTCGTAGCCACTTTAATAATAATAAACGCTAGGAGGTGTAGATTCCATCGTGGGAGATGCTGGTGACACTTTGCTGTGATTATGTTGTAGTTCTGGCCATTGTATATGTTTTGGGAAAGACTATTTAGTCTGTAGATAAGAGAATTTAGAGAGATTACAGAAGGATTGAAACGTCTGGTTTTGTATGCTGCTGGGTGAGATTAGATTTCTTAACATTGCTCTAAAAATGGACTGCTTCCAATCAAGCAAAAATGTTATTTGTATTCAAGGTTTAAGAGCCAGACACTTTCATGCCCAGGACTCTGTTGGTAGATTTGGCTTCTGCTTTTTCATTTATAACATTTTTGAAGACAGCCAAGTGTTTTACAGTGAGTTTGAACAAAATGTTTCATTCATTTGTACTGGTATCCTGATTCAGAATGTGAGATTTGAGCAGTAAAAGGCCCCAATTTTGCTTGTCAGCAAGAATTAATATATTGTCACTTGTGTTATGAATGTGAAAGCTGTTTGTTCGTAAGGGAAAGACATCACTTTCAGTGGTATTTGGGTTTCTAGTTTAATATGGGTTATAACACTCTAAGATATAAAAATAAACTCTAATGATGCATGCTTAGGAATTACAGGATTCCACAAAAGCACAGTAAGGTGCAAACCCATATTTGCATTCTCTTCCCTTAACATAACTTGTAAAGTTAAATGTGCTTGTTGTTGTTGTTTAGTTAAGTCATGTCCGACTCTTTGTGACTCCATGGACCAGAGCACACCAGGACCTCCTGCCTTCCACTGTCTCCCAAAGTTTGGTCAAATTCATGTTGGTAGCTTCAATGGCATTATCCAACCATCTCATCCTCTATCGTCCCCTTCTCTTCTTGCCTTCACACATTCCCAACATCAGGGTCTTTTCCGGGGAGTCTTCTCTTCTCATGAGATGCCCAAAGTATTGGAGTCTCACCTTCAGGACTAGCCCAGTGGTTTTTCCTACTTTCTTCAGTTTAAGCATGAGTTCTGCTATAAGAAGCTGATGATCAGAGCCACAATCATCTCCAGGTCTTGCTTTTGCTGACTGTATAGAGCTTCTCCATCTTTAGCTGCAGAAAACATAATCCATCTGATTTTGGTATTGCCCATCTGGTGATGTCCATGTGTAGAGTCGCCTCTTGTGTTGTTGGAAAAGAATGTTTGTGATGACCAGCTTGTTCTCATGACAAAACTCTATTAGCCTTTGCCCTGCTTCATTTGAACTCCAAGGCCCAACTTCTCTGTTGTTCCTTTTATCTCTTGACCTCCTACTTTAGCATTCCAGTCCCCTATAATGGCATCTTTCTTTGGTGTCAGTTCTAGAAGGTGTTGTAACTCTTCACAGAATTAGTCAGTTTCAGCCTCTTCAGCATCGATGATTGGTGCGTAAACTTGGATTACCGTGATGTTGAAAGGTCTGCCTTGGATTCGTATTGAAATCATTCTATCATTTTTGAGATTGTATCCCTGTACTGTACAGTTTTTCCCACTCAGGTTCCTATGCAGTATTTTTCTTTGCAGCATCGGACTTTCCTTTCACTTCCAGGTTTGTCCATAGCTGAGTGTCCCTTCGGCTTTGACCCAACCACTTCATCAGCTCTTTCTTCATGTCTTCCGCTTCATTAGCTCTGGAGCTACTCGTACTTGTCCTCCGCTCTTCCTCAGTAGCATGCTGGACGCCTTCCGACCTGAGGGACTCATCTTCCAGCGCCATATCTTTCAGCCTTTTGTTTCTGTCCATGGAGTTTTCTTGGCAAAGATAACGGAGTGGCTTGCCAGTTTCTGCTCCAGGTGGACCGCGTTTAGTCAGAACTCTCCACTATGACCTGTCCATCTTGGGTGTCCCTGCACAGCATAGCCCATAGCTTCTCTGAATTGCTCCCCCTTCACCACGACAAGGCAGCAGTCTGTGAAGGGGCAGCACCAATCCGGGAAGGGGTGATCCGTAAATATGCTTACCAAAGCCTAATTCAGACGTTTAGAAATGGATGTAGCACAGTAATGTACTGTGATTGTACAATCATATATTCCAGATGTCTAAACTGGAAGTCATGTCTTTAGTGACAAACTGCATTGTTTAGCACGGGGATACTTTGAAACTAGGAACTTCAAACAATTGTATAGACTTTTAAACTAGAATATCCTGTGGTTGATTCATGCATGAAACACTGGAGTACACGTTACTCAAATTTAGACAGATAGTAAATGTATGGGACAAGGGCACAGAAAACTCAGATTCATCTGTAATAGGTCAAGAACTGCTAGATAGCTCTGTGGTTCATGTGTCTGACTACAGAGCCAGAGGGTGGGAGTTCGATTCCCCACTCTGCCTCTTTGACAAGGTTTTGGATTCATTGATCCATAAGGTCCCTTCCAGCTCTGCAGTTCTAAGATTATTATGAAACTCACTGGGTGCCCATGGCTGTTGTGGGGATGCAAGTGGTAAAGAGGAGAGATGGGCTTGAGCTCATTGTAGGAAAACTGGGATATTAATGTGAATAGTGTTGTGTTTGAGGTATGGTTTTGGGTGTTTTCAATAGAAGAGGATTACCTGGGCAGAGAACAGGTGGCCTGGCAGCTGTTGTTGGAGAGCTCTAACATAGATAATTATGAGAAATAATGGGAGTTGCAATACAACATGATCCAATCCAACATGATCTGGAGAGCCACATGGCTCTGTTTCTACTATGCATAGTAATGTGGGTTTTTTTCTGCAAACATATGATGTGCAGCTGGATCAGAAGGATCTTAGCAACTGTGATGAAGACAAATCAGAAGAAGATAATTTGATTGGTGAATGAGGGCCCAACCCATTCGGGTTTCTTCACTCAGGTTTTCTTTAGAGAGGTACCACAGTTGCAGGTAAAAATAGTTCTAGGAGAGTAGCAATCTGTATTACAGGAAAAGGTTGTGGCACCTGAAAGATTAACAGGCATTTCACATAAGCCTATGTGAATTGCAGCCTGCCTCCTCAGATGAATAGAGTGTTGCTTTTGCTGGCAGATTATCCATACACTGGCTAAGATGAAATAGAGAAACAGAAATGCAAAAGGTACAAACAGTGATCATTGTCTTAACATTTTCCAAAGAAGTTGCTGTTTTAGTTTATTGTCTGCTGCAACAACATCTTGCATATTTTATGGGGCAGAAGTTCTCATGGCCTGCAGCCAAGTTCTTCAAGCTTTATCTTATTTTGTTTCTTTCTTACCAGAGGTGGAATATCATCATGGCTACACCGATTTGGGATGTGGCAACTCTAAACCATGTTGTTGCACTTCATCCAACGAATCCACAGCCAATATGATGTTCTCATACCTGTATCTTTCTCCATGTGTTTTGTCCTGAATGACCAGCTGTAACAATCTGTTCTTGTCAGTTTTCATCATGTGGCTGAGTTCCTCTAGCTTTCTGCTCCCCTTTTTTGATGTTTTATGGCTTCTTCACTTACATTCTTAGTCTTAATATTTCTTTGACTTAGTATTATTTCTTCATTTGTCAGTCTCTCAGTTTCAAGAAATGTTCAGCATCATAGGGCAAATCCACATTTCAAAGGTTTCTAGCTCTTCCATAATTGTCTGTGTTATGGACCGCAAGTCCAGGGTAATAATACAGGGATACCTGCACAAATGAATCAGCATATGGCATGAGATA